TCCAAGCGTACAAAAAAAGTAAAGTTATTACCATAGAATGTGTCCTTCGCGTGCGATTTAAACTGAACGTAGCTTTCAACCATAATACTAAGAGCGCTTCGCGCGGACGCGGAATTGTAAGCCGTTTTACAACCTGTATATTAGTTCTTCCGCTAAAAGGTAGTTAGCGTGCCCAACTTTCCTTTTTGTAAAGGGCGACGGCATCATCTTAAAAGAACTCCAGAAAATTAGTTGCCTCAGTCTAGATAAAAATTGGCACAAGGTGAGCTTTAGCTTTGGAGGGTTGGGGGGGGGGGAAACGACGAAAACTGAGCAGCCAGATGATCTACAAAAAGTTTCGCTTTGTCATCGCTTTCGACTACGGTGTCGCCGTAGCGAAGTAGTGGCCGAAACAAATGTCCGCGATATCTAACTCGCTTGACAAATATACGGAAGGAGGCGCGGCCCATGACTACTCTGATGATCCGATGACACTCGCATATTAAGGCCTTTAGTCCCACAAAAAGGCGTTTAGGGCACTTCGCAACTTCACATATCGCCGATGCATTGCGATGAGCTTCTGTCATCAATCGCTTAAATTAGACAACAGAAGTTTAGTTTAGTGGGCGTTTCGAGTGATGCCGGGAATGGTAGAAGCGCCTTCTCGAGCAATTAAGTGAACTCGTTACAAATTATTATGAGTGGGTGAATGTCTTTATTGCTTACTTATCGTCGCACAGTTCGAGCGGGAGAGGCAAATGACCCGACGACAATCCCTCAGCGCCTCAGAAGCAGTTAAAAGGCATATAATTATTAACACGGCGAAATCCAGCGCGCCCTTGTGCCCGATTTCCTCTCCGTATGTACTGGCGACTGTAATCTTAGGACTCCCAACCGCGTTCCTCAGGTCACAGTCTCAAGGAATGTAACCGTTGCGGTTTGCGATCCGGCTTTCCACGCAGGGTGTTCCCATTTAAAATCCTCGTATAGATTGGCGGAAAGTCATGGACTAAAAGAGCGTTAAGATCAAACAGTGTAAGTGGTTGACTGTGTGGTTTTTAGATTGCGATTACAATCTGAGGAAAATTCAGTAAAAGAATAATACTTAAAAAAAAGGTCGGTTTATTACTTAATTAATACTCTATATCCTAAAATTTCGGATACTGCCGACCAATGAACTTCGAGATCTCAGTCAATGAGCCTCCTCTATTTGTAATTATTTTAACTAAAGTTTTTGGGTTTGTCAGTTAAAACACAATCTTCTCACGTAGTGTCTAACTATAGCGCCTAAAAAGGTAACGAAGAAAAACAAGAATTATATATCAACAGTTTTATGGCGTAGCTCGCCAGATATACAAACAAACACTCACTGAAATTAACTATCGCACAAAAGCCTAACCTTCGCGCAAGCTTCAACGCACGCAAGAATAAGGATTCCTGTGGGTCCTTCACAGAAACCATTTATATACCCTAAAATTGAGGACATGTTAAGGTTAATTACGAACATTTTAGTATATATACTAACATACAAGTTTTACAAAAATTAATTTTTCTCATTTACTAACCTAGCTTTCTGTGGCCGTTCTATATTTGGCAATTTTTAATTTCTTATTTAGTTTTAGTTTGTGCCATGTGGCGGCTTAAATTTTTATTTTATCTCAGTTCGACAACTCCCACAATGGGAGAACAAAAAAAAGGTTGTTTTATTATAGGCAATCACAGATATCGATTCTTTCGCGTTGCATTAACTCCTGCAACTAGTGTTTTTCCTTACACCCGACCTCCGCATTTCATAAGAGGAATCGGATGTGCTCAGGCGTTTCATTAGAAACAGTTTTTTTGTTTTTGTCAAACTTAAAATTTTTTTTTTTTCAAACTTTTAAATATTTTATTATAACAGTAGTTTATAACTTTTGTAATGTAGTATTTTTTTAAATAACTAACTTTAATAGAAAGCTTTTATTCATAATATTTTTCAAAGGTTTATGTTACCCCCAAAAAAAATAATTTTATAAAAAATTATTATAAAAATTTTTTTAATAAAAATAACCTGAGGATGCTTTTTCTTCTTCTCTGCGAAGACGTTTGGCTGCCAAAAAATTCTAAGCCTTTCACGGTTTTGATCATGGTCGAGAGATTCGTCGTCAAAATAGCTAACATTTGGCGTGAAAGTCAGTTGAGACGTAGGTCATTCGCGGGGGGGAGGGAATTGCTGCGAAGCACCACATGTAGTTGGGGTAATAGTAGCATCCCAAGTGTGAATCGGTTGTCGTGGGCGCGTAGACTGGTCGGCTTTTAAAGCCTCCACGGGTAACAGTTAGAGCCCCGGTAGTTGGCGGTATAAGCTTCACTGCAATTCGCACATCTTGTAGGCGAGTCTCGTGTTTTGGTACACCTCGCGGTCAAATGATTTTCCACAATTGACGCATTGAGGTGTCGCAGCGCAAAAGCTTGCAGCGTGGACATAGTTCTGGCAGCAGTGGTAGTGGCCAACGCGATTTGCTTTTTCAAAATCTTTGACTTTAATTTAAAGTTGAAAAATCGTCTTCAGTTTTAATAACTTTTGTCTTTTGGTTCCAGGTAAGTGCACCAGCACTAATGATAACGTACGTTTCCTTTCACCATTAACAGTGGCCTCCGTGTGCATTGTCCACTCGGAGGGATGTGATGCCTTTCACGTGCAGGTCCGCCTCGATAGTGACAACGTCGAGTTCATAATAAATTCTATGGATGAAAAATTGGGAGTGTTGTCTCCAAGTAGTTCACAGGTTAAATGTACTAATTCCTGATTGCGCATGTACGTTGTGATAGCGCATTATTTTCTAGCCTTTGTCGAAAAAATTTAAATTTTAATACGGGTATCTCAACTTCGGGATCTTGACACCACTGGTTTACAAAAGATGTACAAAAATGGGCCACTTCTGTTTTTCGCAAAAGGTAATGAATGGAGTTTACTTTTTCCGGGATCGCAGGGAGGTTCCGCAGTAGCTGGTTGTTTCGTTATAGTAGGTACAGTGTCAGAAGTGCCACCCATGCCATGTGTAAAGCTCTTGAGGGATTCTGGATGGTCTAAAATTATTTTTATACTAGTTATACTTGTTATGGTTTTTTACTGTCACCCTTGCTGCTAAAAGTTATATTATTAATGACGCTGTTATGAGAACCATTAGTTATAAGATTGATAATACTAATACTATTGTTTACTATTACTATTACTATTACTATTAATATTATTCACCATGAAAAGACATTCTTTTATAACCTTTAGAGTCTCGCTATCTTTTAGTAGCACTGCAAAAGCATTTGGTTGATTTAGAAGTTGCAAGACCGAAAATACTTTGTTATTGTTAATTATACTATCAAAGGGCACCTTTCGCATTTTAGATTTATTTTGGTTCTGAGTGGTTTCAGTAATTTCAAGAAGTTTGTCTTCATAGAATACAACTTTTCTCTGACTTCTTCAGTTTTAGCCGTAAGGAGCCATGGTCTGGTCTTGAAAATGAATTCCGCAGCTTCCTTTTTTACTTAACTGCGGTGGTAAAATCATACTTAAAGGATAGAATCTTTACTGCTAGAGAAAGTTCGCCGGAGTCCGCTATTAGACAATTAATGGTGGGTGTCCCACAAAGCTCATTACTCTCTATCCCTTTACTTTTCTTCTATCTACATGTCCGTTATGCCACTATCGTCAAAAATAAACTTAGCCCAGTACCAGGATGAACAAGGGCTCTATATTAAAGTTTAATACCGCCTAGCTGGTATTTAAAAACATATTAATTCTATATTAAATTTTTTTATAATATATGTTACTCTCTTTTGTTTACGTTGGGAGTTTTATGGTTATAACAAGAAGGAGTTTATGCACTAGCCCCTTGATCTCTCACTAAACCAAACTGTCATTTCCTAGGGTTTAGGCTTGACGACAGACTAACCCAGACTCCGCATTTTTCTTTCGTCGTTTCTAAAACCAGACAAACTCTAGCCGTTTTATATCCCTTACTATGCAGGAAAAGCAGATTGTATTAAAAAAACAAGCTTTTGTTATACAAATCGGCAATTGTCCGCTGATGGTCAATGCCTCTATTGCCTGGGCCTATACCTTAAACAAACATATTTATCGACTATTAATTCTACAAAATCGATTTCTAGGAATGGTGGTGAAGCCCTTTGGTTAGAGCATTGTTAGATTTCACACTACGCCTCACCTTAAGGGGACAGGAAATTATTTATTAAACAATCGAGTGCTAACTTGCGCAACAGCCAACTACATAGAGTGTAACCTAACGTAATTAAGAAAAATTTCATGGTCCTAGCCAACTAGAGCCAGTTGTAACTTTAATATACTAATTAGGTAGGCTCTTAGTTATGACACTCGTTGCTTACACCAAGTGCTCGTGGCAAAACAGTTCTTAGATCTATAAGGGGGGAATATGGCCAAGATCACAGTTTATTTATTAACAAATTATATATAGACTTTTTTTTAATAAGGTAGCGGTATTTAAATTTAACTATACCTTTATAATAATATTGTTAATATTTTGCTATTACGTATTTATTGATATATACTAATTAACTATGATAAAGCGACCAGTTCTTCTCGTTGATGGCGCAACGTTGTTTCCGCACCCTTAATATATAGAGGGAAAGTAGATTGAGTAGCAATCAAGCTTGTAGTAAGTCAGTGTTACAAATATCAATAACCAGAAGGGATTCTCTCAGCTCTTCAGAGGAGAAGGAACTTATAACTAATATTGAAGTAAATATATTTTTTTAGAAATTAAAGGAAAAGCACTATGGAAATAAGTAAAACGTTTATCGTAAATTCTAAATAAGAAGTCGAGGTGCGCAGGCCACATTTACAACGTATGTCACGGCCGCTATGCATTAAATAAACTACTTCCATTCCCCGTTAGGGGAGGGCTGACGAGGGCTCCCTCCTTGTAGGTATGCTTCCTGCAAAGGCTATATTAGTTCCCCGTCGGAAAGCAAATATAATGTAGTTTAGTCACGGAAGAGAAAAGTATAAGCTCTGTATAATAAAACCAAGGAGAACTTTTTGTAACCTCTCACACATACAGCTTTTAATGGCTAAGCTTGCATCAGATTTTCTCGTCCTCGACTATCAAAGCCTCCGTCCATGGGACACCGTTTTGTACATCGTTCAAGGCAGTATCGTTAAATTTCGGGGCACTGCTATAGTAAACGCCGCTGACTCTTGTCTTCTTTTATAATTATATAGGATTTAATAGATCCTCTTAGTATATATTTACTTAGACTGTCTTGGAGGCGGTGGTGTAGATGGGGCAATTAGTAGAGCGGGCGGTGAGATCCTAAGGAGAGCGAGGGAAGCTTTAGTACTTATTATTTTATAAATACATTTGTGTTCTAGATAAGGTAATGTGTCATTATAAAATTCAAGTGTCTGGCTAGGAGTATGTAACAATTTTCTCTATCTTATTTTTATGCAATTAAAGCCTGTAGACCCGGAAGGTTACCGTTGTCCTGTCGGAAATGCTAAAGTAACAGTAGCTGGTGCTCTTCCCTGCAAATATGTTATTCATGCCGTCGGTCCTTGGTTTTTAATTTGTATCATAACTATTCTTGAATATAAATATATTTTTTATAGTTTTCCTTCCAACCCACCCTATGATGAGTATGATCGTCTTCTCTCTTCGGCGTACATTCAGTCCTTGTTGCGAGCTAAAGAAAATGCTGTAGAGGTATTAGTCATTCTAAAGCCTGTTAGCTTTATACCTTCGAATAGGTTTCAGTCCATTGCCTTCTCTTTAATTTCTGCTGGTGTCTTTCGGGGTACTCGGGAACTCAAAAGTGTTATCACGATTGCTTTGAAAACCATCGCCGATAATATTTATGAAGGTGAGTTTTAGCCTTTGACTTTGATGGGAAATTTATTTGCTTATTCTTGAAAGGGCTCAAAGAGATCTACGTTGTCGCGTATTCGGACACGGACGCTAAAGTTCTTGTTTCAGTGTTTTCTCACTTATTTAAAAGCCCTTAACAACTATTTTGTTTTGCTTGGTTTTATTTAATAATACTACTTAACAATGTCGTATAAGTCTTAAGGGTGCGCGTGTCCACTATGCACTTACTCCTGCAGTATCTGAATGGTGCCCAAAAGGCTAGCAGTTTCTAAGATTTTGCTAAAACTTACTTTAGTCTTTTCATTAGAACAAGGTAAAAGCCTTCAAATAATCATTAATCAATAAAAGATAATTTATTTATTATATATTGAGGTGTAATAAAAACTGTTAGCATAAAATAAATAAATGATAGAAATTATGCGGTGGGGGGTAAGGGACAGCGACGGGACGATAGAGAGCTACATTCCCCCTCTATCCCTTTTTTTTCCTCCCTGCCTCATTTTTCTCTCGATAGAGCTTGATTTCTATACCTATATTTACAACAGAAGTTGTGTATCACCTGCCGTCCTTTATAAAAGTGATGTTACTTTTACAAAACCTAAAGTTACCGAACCTTTTTAAATTCGTGAGCCTTTAATTTTTATTTTTAATGTTATTTATTTAAACAAAGTGGCTGTATTAGCGATATAAATTCCATATATAAAAGTTGAAATAAGTTTTTTTAAGATTTGTTAACTTTTTTATCTTTAAATTTATATCTCGCTTAAAAACTTTACGGGGTTTTTTAGCAATATGAGTTGAACACTTGAAACCACGAATGAAATTTTTATTCTGTAAACTTGAAAGTTTTTGTAAAAGTGGATATCGAACATAAATTGTAAGAGACGTCGCTATTAAATAAAGGGAATATTCACTTCTTAGCTAAATATCTTTTCAGCCTTATAGTCGGTTTGTAGGGTTTGTGCTCTCTCCAAGCTTGCTAACAACAAAAGGTAGTCAGGCAGTCTACTTTATAAGTATAGATATTAAGTTATTTTAAAATTTTAATCCTTTAAAAGTCAAAGAAAGTTGCGTAGAGTTCACCTTGCTTGTAAATAATTTTAAATTAAAAATTTTGATAGTTTTATAAACAAATAAAAATTGGTCAATATCCAAATTATGAAAATTTCACAGAAATCTCAAGGTGATCGATATGTAGTTTAGGATAACTCATACATAACCGATAACAGAAGCTTAGTAGTTTCAGGATTTAAACATGTTTCTTGAAGGCGAATTTTATGACTATAAACTTGATTTTGAGCCCGACCGGAACTTTCAATCCTTAACTGCTTACTTTCAGCATCTATGAAAGGGATTAGTTCTACGGTATTGAGACACATATTAAGTATTTGGGATTCATAAACTCTTAAAATAGAAAGAGTGGAGATTTCCCGAGATAGATTTTGTAAAATTTTTGCAGCTCTCCACTGAGCCGTCAAAGTCGGCCGCCTTGGCCTCTTAGTTGAAATATTTTGGCTACTGCTGACACTATGAGGGCCATTGTTTGACCCTTCATAACTATTTATTTCGATATTATTACCATCTTTACAGTTAATATTATTGTTTAAAATATGATTTCTGCGTACATTACAATTATTGTGAATAGTATTATAAAGATTAGTAGTATGACTATTTTTGATGTCATTAATATTATTCTCTGCGGTATAGGTGTTCCTGTGATTAATAAACTTATCACACTCAATACTAGCATTTGCATACTCGGAAGCCCCAGTAGGCCTGCAGCTTTCTAAAAATCCTAAAAGAGTGCTTACGAGTCTACGATTAAAGATCCTAGCATTAAGAGGGGGGTCAGCGGAGAGGTCGGTAAGTAAGATCATTGCAAGTTCACACTCTTCGCTGCCTTGATGCTGACCTATTAAAAAGCATAGCACATCGAGTATAGCGCCTAAATAGTCCTCGCCAGCTAGTGAGAGCACGATGGGGGTATTTCCCTCAACCACCAAAAGTTTGATTAAAATTTCTAAAGAAAGTCTCGACAGATATAATATATCTTCGTCTTCTGAAAGGTCTTCATCAAGGCAATAACAGCCAGTCCAGCTGGTCTTGAATGCTAAAAATACTAAAAATAGTTGGCGAAGGAGTAACGCTTGAACAGTTGAAGAAAGCATGGAAAGTTCTATGTGGCCGGCTAGATTAGCAAGAGTAACAAGCGCGTTCACCCGAGAGAGATACTTCTAGAAATTAGAGTAATTTCGTTCATAAGTTAACGCGAATATTATCTGCATCAAGTATAAACCTTAGAACACAAGTCGGCATAGATCGACACAAGAACGCGCTCATTCTTGGCCAAGATGGGACTGTTATCGGGAACAAAAGAAAAATTTAAGAGTAACGTTGAAACGCAGAGAATTTTCATCATGATTTGATTCTCCTTAACCCGAACGTTACCAAAAGCTTCTTCCAAATTCTCACCGACTGCTGACTCACCACAGAAGTTATCCTCACAAAAAGTCGACTTTTCTAAGCCAGTTTGTATATATCCGTAACTGTTGACAGGCAGGAGTGGCGCCACTCGATGAAGGCTGCTACAAGTAAACCCTAAAGCCTGTAACTGTTTGTACTTTACGTTCAAGAGGGAGTCCAGCAAACAGTGCATAGGCATATCCTTCAAAAAAAGCGGAATCTTGTGGGAAATTATAAGTAAAACATCTAGGGCCCAGTTGATCTCAGAAAGTAGACCTAAAAGCGAGTAACAAATTTTAACTAACAGAGGATTGCTAAAAAAAAGCGTACCAGACTTAAGACTCAAAACGATTCTTTCCCAACAGAAAGGATCTTTTTCAAGATAAGAGCTTAATATAACCAAGTTACTGCGCATATTAAAAAATAGTACCTAAACCTTTAACTGTAGATCTAGGGAAACTAATCAGGCGGAGACCCAAGTTTTGATTGGAGTCAGGTTGATCTTGAAGGTTAAAGGTAACATAGTGAGCGCGAATTTCTTCTAGGCATAAAAAAACACGATTAATATCTTTCTATTATAGTAAATCATTATAATAAAAACCTGGCTCACTGGAAAAGTCAAAGGATGCTGTATTTAGCTCTAGAGGAGCACTCTGGTGGTTTTCAGAGCCTACCTCATATACACTTCCAGGATGAGCCTTTGAAGAAATTTCTTGAATTTTTATCGATGGTTGAAATTGCCTTTCAGTGCAGGTAGACTGTTTTTTAGAACTACTCTCCCGCACCTGTCGAATATTAAGTGGTGTACAGTTCGTTAAGGTTGCCTGGCCATCTGGGGCAGGTTGTGGAAACTGAACGAGTGGAGCGTCACTTCCTATAACAGGTAAATTATTTATTTTATTTTCATATGGTGTGCCAATCTCCCTATCCCACTTGCACGCATCCTGAGTTTCGAACTTATTATTATAAGAATGAGACCCAGGTTTTGATTGCCGGTAGGAAGCTTTATTATCGTTGAATAAAAATTCTGCATTCTCTTCATTCACTGGCAAAGGGCAAGAAGAATCATTACAATTATAGTAACCGTTGTTAAGGCTCGATAATTTAACCAAATTTTTAAATTCGAGTATAGGAGTATTACTATTAATTTCGTTTTTGCTATAGTCTAACAAAGTTTGATTACTATAATTATTAACCGGTATATCACAAAAGCTTGTGCTCTTTGGTGAATCCTGGCGATCTTTAATAGGTGTATGTGAAGATTTTAAGCTGTCATTTAGACTTCTTTTAATTCTGTTGGATACGCGACGCCTTTTTGGTCTCCAGTGACCCACGGAATATCCCATCTTATCTGAGCTTGTCCATTCATGGTCAGTAGGTATTTTTGAAGCTGGCTGACCATTTTCAGTTGAGTGAGTAGTGCTCCTAAGGCCCAGTCGCGTACGAGATGGGAGTTTATTTAAAGAGACAGCATCTGCGACTGGATAGGTGCCTTCAGAAAGGTTCCGGCAATTAACAACCTCAACAAGATTTAGACTTTCCTCTTTCGAGTGTCCTGTATCTTCAACAATTGGTAAACTTTTACTTAACTCGTCGAAAGTTTGATGAAGCAGTTCAGGAGGGGCAGGGGTCTTTTTATCCAACGATAAGGGATGCTGAGGAGGTCCAGTGTGAGATTTTTGAGAAAAGTTAAGGTATTGAGTGCTTTGCACAGGGAGCTCCTGGGGCTGTAAACAAGGGAGTAAAAGCGATGATACGGATGAAGAAGTCGGGAAAGAGGGCATGGGATTGCCCTTCTGATATGGCTCTGAAAGTGGCAGTGAGGCGGAATTATGATAAGAAAGTTCCTGTGAAAAATTTAGGCGAGAAAAGGGATCCAACGGAGATGGTTGTCTTGGCTGGTAGCCAGGAACGACATGATCAAGGTGCCCGGAAAGTGAGTTGAGCCCTGGGGAATGACTGACTTGACTACTCGACCGTTGCGCTAAATTAGAGAGGAGAGACACATCGCCCACGACATCTTGCGACGCGCCTAAGAGCATATCAGATTGAGTAGAGGAAAGCGGTTGGTGTGTAAGAGCACTTTTCTCAAACTTATCTATATGGAGTCGTTGGTTCACTGATGTTCTAGAAAGATTATAATAATTACCTTCGAAAACTCCTTGCAATAAATTTTCTTTCCTCAACGACTCTGCTTGCGCCGGCCCAATATTATAACTAAAAAGGGGTTGCTGTTGAGGTAGGGAAACTGAGTGCTGCGGCAGAAAGTTGTATTGAGGCTGCTGAAAAGAGGGCGATGGATAAGTGCGAGCCCTAGCTTGTGAGGTTAACTCTGAAGGAGCAGGCGTAGGTTGCCTTAAACCAGCAGCCTGTAGCTGAGAAGGAATTAGATTTTGAGAAAAGTCCGTAAAGCGAGAGTGTAAGAAGTTGGTAGCCGGAAGTTGCAATAGATTTGAGGGCGGACAGGAGACAGGCATAAGGGGCGTGGAGGGCGAGGGAGAAAAGGAAAGAGGAGATAAATGAGATGGGAAGGTGACAGACTGATAACCGGCGAATGGGCGGGAGGTTTGAGAAGGAGAAGGAAACTGTTCAGTCGAGCACTTTAGGTTCTTTACAGGAGATGGCAGCTGTAAATACATAGAATTCTGGGAGTGCAGATCGAGCTGGCCAAAATGGTTGCGCCGAGGCTGCTGTTTAGGAAGCGGAAACATTTGTTGTTGTTGACTATGTTGCATATTAAAAGCTAAGCTGTTATTACTGGATGACTGAGAAGATCCAAACAACAAAGGATCTATTGAAGAAATATTGCCTGCTTGACTACTATAATCCGTTAAAGAAAGGGTATCATCCCGCAATAAAGAGTCTAAATTAAGTGGTTGACCATTTAAAATAGAAGACGAAGTAAAGGAATTTGGATTAGATGGTTCGAAGTTAGGGTGCCTATAGAGTTGTGAATTCATATCAGAAACTGAACTGTCCATAAAGCTTAAAGGCAAATCTAAAAGAGGATAAAAAATGTTATATAAAAACTTAAGTAAATAATTGTTCATAATTTATAGTAATAAAGACTTTCAAAACCTTTTCCAGTTGAAATGTGTGAAAAACAAGAAGGTGATTCGCCTTGTTGGCGTTCCTTCAGTCTGCTATTCTTATAACCCAAAACCGAAGGTAACAAAAGATCATTGTGCCTGCAGAAGACACAGTATGTAAGTTACAAAACCTAGTTATTATTAAGTATGTTATAGTGACAAATATTCGGCTATATTATAATTTTTAGAAAAACATAAAGTTATAATTTTATATTACTTAACAAAATAATCAATTATTACTTTTTATATATTAATTCTAACTTTAAATTTTTCCTAAAAATTTCACAATTGCGGTTTAACTTTCTAAGTTGTTTATCAGCTCACCTTACATTCATTTTCTTCAGATATCAGAGTTTCATGCTCGTATTTAAAGTATGAAACCTATAACTGTAACGCGTAATACAATCTAAGAACTTGATGGCAATTGCGGGCGATGATAAGGCTCTAATCGAGAATATAAATGACAATCAGCAAAGTGCTAAAATATCTGCGCTCTTATAGCCCTCATGCCCGTAACTCTTTTTTTTATTTTTAATTGCATAATGTAAAGTTAAATCTTCATTAGTAATAATGTAGTATTTTACCAGTCATTGTATTATTTTACAAGACTAATTGCATTATATATATAAAAAAATAATAGAAAAAAGCATAAAATAGTTCAAAAAGTTTACTCGAAAGTAGACCAAGAAAACATTGTAATTCAGCGTCAATTGCTTTTTTTATTTGGCAAGTTTTTAAGGGTATTCAAATATGTACTACATTTATAACTTTATATGACTGTGAAGGCAAGGGTTGCCGCCTCTGTTTATTCGTTTGCCATTTAATAAATGGGCTCCTCTCTTTAGGAAGCCGCCTTACGAAGGATAAATGATGATTTATAGATATTATTGAGGAGCTTCGTAAAGGGTTGAAGACTGTAAAATTAATTACAGGATTTTGAAAAAAATATCTCCTATTAAAAACGAGACTAAACGACGAAAAGAACCTATAGAAAATTCTTCCAATATAATTAATGATGCTAGTCCTTACTCTACCTTCCAAATACTTAATGAGCCTTGGAAAGAAAAAGTCTTAGAGGAGAGTGAAGGAAATGCCCTTATGATAAAAGGCTTTAAAAAGAATTATAACGAAACTGGTATCATTAACACTAATAATAGTAAAAATAATAATCAGAAAAAAAAAGGAATTAATAGTAGTAGTAATAAATTTAGTGATAATATCTTTGCAAATGGCCTAAATGAAAGTATCAACCTTAATAGTAAAAATATTAGTAACATCTTTAAAAACTCCATTTTTAATGATACTGTTAAAGGCTCAGAGATGCCTGATGGAGAGCACGACGATAGCCCTGAAGTAGTGAAAGGCACTTCGAGCCACCTTTCGGGGCTGCATCTCCTCTTAGGTGAAAAGATTCTGACTGTGGTCCTCTGCGGAAAAAAAGAAGTGGAATTATTTTGTAAAACTTCTGCTAGCCAAAGGCGTTAACAGCATTCCAAATTCTAGGATATACGTTAAGGAATAAAAATATTTACAACAACAGCAGACGTGTAGCGAACCATCCCTAACCTTATGCGTGATGAAGCGCTACCTTATTTCACCTACCAATTACCAGGGTGTAAGCTTTTAAAGTTTGTTCTTCGCGGAATCTACTGCGATCTCAACGTCCAAACCATCGAGAGGGGCTTACGCACGCAAGGCATTCCACTCCTTCGCGGAGCAAGGAGGCACACTGAGGGCACCGACGATGGGAAATGCACGAAGCGACCTTTACCAATGGTGTTATGCATATACCGAGGTGTGATCTACAAAAGCTGTTGGCATCAAAGAAGGTTTTCTATCTTCAGGTTAGGTTTGAAGAGCTCCTAAGGAGTAACCGGCGGACAGCGCAAGTTTCTGCTCTGCAGCCCCCCGATGCGTTAAATGTGGGTAGGGCCACTTAATTACGTAGTGCACAAAAGCCTGAGAAAGACCTGCCCGTTGTGCTAATTGCAGTGAAGCACACACTGCCAATCGTCGTGGCTGCAAACATTACCCGCGTAGACCTATACCATCCACTCAAACTGCTCCCTATTAATGTAACTCTGACAATTCCTTATGCCGCTCACTTGGCCGCAAGGACAACTTCTCAGGCAACCCCTCAACAACTTCAACCAACACTTTCACAACTGCTTTCAGTATTGACGACAAAACCTGTCAACAATGTTAGAGACAGTGAAGGGTCTGGAATCCGTTTGCAATGGTTTTTAGACCCCAAGCGCTTCGTCATATACGTCTTTTGTCTTGGAACGCAGATGGCATCCTTTATAGGAAACAAGAACGGCTGGAATTGATGCAACGCGAAAGAACTGATGCGTTATTAATGAGACGTCTTCCCAGCGTGCCGTACAATCTCCGCAATTTTTCGACGTACCACCATGACCGCCTCGATAGGGGCGGCGGAAGCGCAGCTCTTTTGGTCTTTTGAAACATCCAACACAATGCGATTTCTTTCCCAGCCCTGCAAAGCATTGGGACAGTTCTTAAGCAGCTAGGGGACTATGTCGGTAATTGCAGCTTACAAGCCCCAAGCAGGTCACTTATTACCTCAGATCTTGATGCCCTTTTTAAACGTTGTTCCTCTGTCGTTGTATACGTGACAGAAGCAATAGAGCACGTGTTTAATCAGAGTTTGCTTCATAAAATATGTTATAATCCGAAAACGCTGACCATGGGTCACTAAAATCAATCGTAGGTTAGAACATTCGGGTTCACTTCAGCACAGATATTGCACTTAATTTTCTCCTACTCCTCCTTTGTTTTATATGTTTCTAAAGTTTTTATAATTTCCTTTCTTTAAATATTCCATTTTGTCACGCCACTTAAGAATCATTTTCATACAAGGCTTAGGTAGTTAATAATATTTGTTGTATTGCATTAATATCATTGACAGAGGAGCTCTAATTTCCAACTCCTATAATTTTAGACTAACAGCTTTGACTACACTTTGAGCACAAAGTAAACCGCCTCTTACGAAGTTTTAGGGGAATCAGAAACATATGGAACCTAGCTTTACAGAAATGTTATGCACATTAGAATTCTAAACAACCACTCAAGCTAACTCTAGTGTCGTCGCCTGTTAAAACTAACAAATAAAGTTTATTGTATTATTAAAAATGTGACAACTGACTTTGGAGTTTAGGTTTATTCTCTTCGTCAATTATGGTCAAGTGACAAGTTGAACAAAAAACCTCGTCCCCCTTCCTTACTGGTGTGTGGGCAATTTAAGCTCCGGCCGGCACATTCTTGCGAGGGGCCCGCTTCTCCCGCTTTAGAATTTACTAAACAAAAATTACTGGTGTTATATCCTTACCTCAGTGTGTAAATAGTAATGCTCTATTATTTATTACTTATTTTTCAAACAATAGCCGCTCGTCTTGAAAGCAAGTTACCCACACTTCAGTTCTTTGGGCGTTATTTTATTGGCAACAGTACTGATTAATCCTTTTTTAAACCTAATCTTTTCTCTTGCTTGAATTCTTTTTAATACCACATCTCTTTTGCAGTCTTTCCGTTCACTATCTTGTTGACGTTAACCGCAACTTCACTAAAGAACGTCCCATAGTTGAATACAATTGAATCCGTTATAAGGATACACAAGTTCGACACTAACTGTTGGAAGAGTCCAATGATTTCGGTATTTTCATCCTTTCTCTTACTGTTGTTTTTTGTCTTGGTTTCCTATAGTAGTACAAAGCAAATTAATTTTATTCGCAAGAGCTTGTAACATTTTACTTTTAGCTCTTCTCTAGGTCAATACCTATCCTTTAAAACTGTATTAAACCCTGTTATTTATACAGAGTTATTACTGTATCGACGCCTTTAATTATAACGGACTAATAAGATTCATTCGATATTATACTTAATTAAACCCCTTGCGATTTCCACGCTTACGTTTAACACCTATAGACAGCTTCGATGATGTTATCGCTTATAAATTTCATTTTCATAAGGAGCATCATATTGACCAATCTGCTTTGTATATTAATTTTTATGAAGCGCTAACGCCGGTATTAGTCGTATTATTACAATTACTGTTTGAGCTGTAACTACTTTATATCTTACTTATCCTATAATTTTTCTCCTCTCTTTTTAAGTAGCCCAAAAATTTTCAGCAGTAAACCTGAAAAACTCCAAAAACTAAGTTATCTAAGACTCTAAGATACGAGGATATAATAGCTTATGTTAAGGGACTGGCATGCATACTAACTATATAAGACAAAAGCTTGATCTTAATTATTAGAAGCCTAAATCTATACATATAATATGGTTAATTGGGTTCTTAAGATTATTCTCTTCATATAAAACTCTAAGTATTATTACCGTGTTTCTATTACCAATGCCATTGGGCTTTTACTCCTTTGGTTGATAAATACACTACTAGAGAAGATTAAACGCTAGAAACATAAAATCCATACGTTACCCATAGATATAATGTGGGTATTTTTTCGTGTTAAGGCCACTTGGATCTACTCTTTAAAGAGACACTAAAATAAGCTACAAATTCTACAAAATTTTTTCGACTGTTTACCAACACCCGGTAGTTTAATCTAAACTGTATCGTTAGCAAGACTGTAAGTTCTAATTTATTCAGGCTCTGATAAAAAGCAACACAGAAAAATGTTTAGAGCGGGTCAACATTCACTCCTTAAAATTAATATCTACAATGCTGACCTACAACCCCAGTACAAAAGACCTGTTCAATTATGCTGGCAAACTGAAAAGTATTAATAATGATATTAATTATAATAATAGAAGTTGTCGAAGTTATGTACCCTTATAACTGATTAACTGCACCCAACGGTGATTGTCTTTAGGGGTTGCAATTAATATTAATAGTAATTCTAATGATGTAAGAGAAATAATAATCATAATAGGAATAACATGTCTTTTTTTAGGGTCGCAGTTAATATTAATAGTAATTTTAACGATGTAATAGAAATAAATCATAATAGTAATAACAGCTTATATAATAACTTGGCTAATGTAATAATACTAATGCTAAAATATTAACATATTTAAAACGATATGTAATTTTATAAATTAATTATAGCTTACACTTATTAAAACAACTGCAACAAGTATGTATGTTCTAGATAACCATTAGAGGGTAATTCCTCTTTCTTGCGACTATTCTCCGACCTTTCTACAAGAAAATAAAGATTAAGCATTATTAAGGGCATATATTTTTAACTGTAGCACACCAACTTCATATGAAAGTTATATATTAATTTTTATTATTTTAACATGGTAATTCACTTTATAAAATTCCAAAGTTTTGAATTGATTGATAAGTTGCTCAAGTAATTTACATCTTCTAAAGTTAATAAAATAAGTCAGAGCTCGTTCTTAGCATAAACAGATGGAGATCGTTTCTTTAAAGTGAGAGGTTTTCTGGTATTTTACTGGACGGCCTTAGGTGGCGTTGGGCTTAAAATCTTTTGCTGCCTCTCCCGGTACCACTTTAGGTCTAATGGCGAGAGTTCACCTATATTACTACCGCTTTTTACCAATTTTTTGTCAGCCGTTGGGAAGCCTACACTCGCTATGTCGCTCTAAGTTTTATTCTTAAGAGAACTAAAAAAATCAACATATAATGTAATCTTTGAGTCTCCCAAACATTTTCCGATATATGATTAGTTGTTATCAAATATTGTAGCAAGTAATTTAAACCGTTGTGCATCGTCAAACTCTATTTTTAAATAATTTGTTGTAAACCCAACATGAATTTAAGCAATTTGAATCTGTTACAACTGTCACCCAATACAAGGCCGCTCAGTACTTCCATGGAGGCTTCTTCCTCAAAGGAGGGACCGTAAGGGACTAACCTCCATACTCACCGCAGTTTCCTAGCAAAGAAAAGTCGGATGGTTTGAACTTGTGACAAGACCATAAGTTTTTAACAACATTCTTTTAAACCCCAGTAAAACCTTTGGTATAAATAAGAGCCTTAAATTTATTAATACTTCTTGATCACTTTAAACTTGGAAAACCCACTTGCAAAAAACTCATTTCTTTTAATACTTAGGCGGTAACCCAAGTATAATTTTTGGTATGATAGTCGAATTCCTGATTGATAGCTTGCAGCCATTACTCCTTACTTTAGGACTTGTAAATACGCTCTAGGTGAGCACATGAAGAGTTATGATTACAAAGTATTGATACCCTCTAACTTACATACTTGTTTCCGTTATAGTGGGCAACAATGACTTCAACCGTTTACCTTTCATTTAGCATTGAACTTTTATCATCTCCTTTTTACTGTTATAGTTATAAAAGTTTAAGTAGGGTCATTTAACTTTAAGCTGTTCGCTTTTAAACGTATCCATCTCTTTTTTGACGTTTAAGGTCTGCTTGAGAGGTAGGTGCATTATGTGAATCGCTACTGCCTTATTTACTAACAGTATCATAAATTATAATTACAAATGAGATATACTCCAGCTGTAGAGAACTTCAACTGATGTAAAACATAAACTTCGAAACTATGTCGACTTGTGTCAGAAATACCGAAGTAGCCTATTTGGCCGGGTTTCTTTGTTATAGTACTAAGTTTTAAAACAAATAAAAAAAATTTCTTCTAGCCAGAATTCTGTTGGTTCAGTTTATTAAGATATCGAAGAGGACCTAATATTTTTTAGGGCTTCGCCTCACAGCGACTTTCTGTAGACCAGGATCAACAAGCAGAAGGGTGGGAACCCTCTCTTGTTAAACTTCCAGACAAAACTAGAATTCATTTGGAATTTCAAGTGCCAGACCTTGCTGGAGTAATAACATATTTATAAAATTTAATGTTATACATAGAGCTTCACTTCTAACTTTCGTAAGATACCATGACATGTAGGCACTATACACACAATTTTAGTATTTCATAGTTACTTAAGGCCGGTCTAAAAGGCTCAACGATGTAAAACTGTATGGACCCGAATATGCTGGCTGCTTGATGTTTAGCCTTTTCTAATTATTTTGGAAAGTTATACTTGTCTACTTGATAATTTTCGCAAGTAATATTGTAAGGGCGGCTCTCTGTTACATTAAATTCCTACAGATTTCTTTGTCTTGTGCAAAATAATTTTTTCAGGCACTTACCCGGTTTTCGAAGTCAAGTTTTAAGTATTTTTCAAATATGGAAAAAATAAAGTGCTACCAATGCTATTTAATTCACTCTATAAGTTGATGTAGACCATTGTCAAACCAATCTGCATATTATTTTGAAAAATTTTTTTAATCGCAGACAATATAGCACGGAAGGAAAGAAATAAGAATTATAAGGTTTATTTTCCAACCCCCTATAAGATTCATTTAACAAAGGTCAGCATATTTAAAATTGGGTGCAAGCATATCCTTTAAAAATATATTACATTTAGAACAGTTACACTTACGGAGGATTTTCTACACGTCCTGCGGTCTTCCTGTTTCTTTTAAACAGAAGATACGCATACCCTTATCACTGTATCATCTGTGGATATATCTTCCTATTTACTTAGTACGCTGGCGACAGTCGATTGTAAAAAAGATTTAAACTATGGCTCATTTACCAATGACATTGCTTTATTCTGCTGAAAATCCTTTTAAAAGCAGTTTATTGGCATCAGGTATTATTTTACTAGAGAGATTGCTGAATTATGTGCTCTGTATTTATGTGCTTTGAAACTAATTCTTTTTAAAATTAAATGGTCGTTTCAGGGCTTGAAGCATTTGCTCGCGCTTCCTTGGTAGAACTACGACTACAACATTCTAGGCTATTATTCCTGTCATAATTATAATTTAGGGAATAAACGATCTTCAGTTGTGTAGAGTGGAACAGAGGAAGTTGCTATGAAACGTAGGGGCAAGTTGTAAACTACAGAATTCCTTTTTAGAAATAAGTTATAGAATGAGTTCTCCTAAAGTTTAACTAGTTAGTCTCAAATACACCGAAGTCAACAATTCTAAATATTTTAGCTAAGATACTACCAGTTCGCGACTCATATTTAATAACAACCTTTTAACTAATTAGACCTTGACTATATTGCTTGAGATTCTTAATAAATTTTAGTCATTCCCAATGCAGGGTCGGCTGAACATACGGACTTATAGTGCTTCTTTACAATCAAACAAGCATAAGTACCCTTAATAATACGATATAAATATTAAAAAAAAAAGTTGTATAGTCATAATTATTTTGCTCAAGTCACATATTTATAGAGTTTAATCTTATCAACAGTACTTAATGAGGTTCAGTGACTTCATTGAAGCGCCATCTAATAAAAAATTGTCATGAGTGTTAAAACGTGAAGTACAAACCGAAAACGCTGTAATTACTTATTACACACAAGGTCTTCTGCTGTTAACTATAAGTGAAAAAAATTAATTGAAATAAACTTTATTTTTATTGCAGAAAACCAGTTAAAAAATTTGTAAAAGAAAATAAACTTACATAGGTTGGTGCAAGACTTAAACAAATAAGTTTAGTACTTTAAAAAAAAATTTAATGGGCTACTGGCTAAATTAATAATAAACTTGTTCTTCTTCACTCATAGTTGCAGATTGAAAAAAGCTAGTGTTCTTTTTACTCAACCACTTCAATGTTATAAGCCCTAACCTATTTGCGTGCGTTTTGTTAGTAAAAAAATGATTAGCATCTTCAATGATTTCTAAAGTATGACAGCGAATCTCTTTATGAAATTTATGGGCATCCAGGACCTATTACAATGCACATTAGCTAACAGTTAACAAACCTTGAAGTATATAATAGAAGGACATTATACAATAAAAAATAGACTTAACGGGGACAGTGTTATCTTTAGAACCATGTATAGTTAGCACTTGGCAGTTTATTTTTCTAAAAAAAATAGAGGGAGATTTAAAGTTATAATAAAAATTCGATATTAGGTCATAAACCTCAATTCCTCTTGCATAAAATGGATGTTTTGTTCCCTGTCCAAAAGATCTTGTTTGGTAATAAGGTAGTTGCAACCTACAATTGTGATGAGGCTAAAACTAATAAGTATACTGAAAAATTACCTCTGGAACCCCATAAAAAGGAGCCGTTAGCTTTAAAGTTTTTTAAGTCAGTTCTTATACAAAACCTTATAAGGATATTAACCAATTAACTCACTAATTTGTTGCTGACTAAATCTCTGATGGGGCGTCTTCGTAAAGTCAAAACGACCGGCAATGTTAATAATCTATTTATTTAAAAATTTAACCGAAATTTGGGCAAAGTGGGAGTGCATAAAGTACGAGAGGAAGGGGCTCTATGTTTTCTTCAGTACACTTCAGAGCATAGCGAAGGACAGAAGCGACACCCTTAGAATGGCCGATCAGACAGAAGACGGTAAATCCTCCAGCTTTTTTAAAATTACTACCACAAGTATTATCAATATTATCCTTTAATAGCTTGTTAATAACACATTGTAAGTCAAGATAATCCTCAGCATAGGAGCCATACCTTCGAAGACCTATATAACTATTTAATAGAATTCTCATCAAAAGCTGCTAAGCATGAAGTACACCTTCACTGTCCCCGTGACCACGTAAATCAAATCTTAAAGAAGGGTAAGGAAGAATGTTAGCCAGTTCAGTAAATATATTATTATCTTTTGAAGAACAAAGACCGTGGACCATAATAATTATCTACCAAGATTTTACAATATTTTTAATTAATATAAAATAATCTTGTTAAATACAAGTTACCTTATTTCTTAGTTTTAAAGGACATAAAGGAGAAGGCCCCTTGAAAATGCCCCGTAGGACATTACCTTAAAAATGCCATTCTCAAAGCCTTTAAATATGGTAAATAACGCAAGTATGAACACCTTTTTCGTTCACACCTTCAAAGCCTCTTTCCATTTCTAGCTATAAGTGCCGAAGGGCGTAAAACTTTTTAAATTTTTTTTAATTTGAGAATTTAGTAAAACAAAGGCTCTCTAAAAAATCCACGAAGTCTCGAGAAATATTTAAGTGGTTAAAAATAAAATTTTTAATATTAAGCATATATATGCCTAAGGGTGAAAAGAAGGTAGAGTAATGAACCCGTTATATCGATTTGATTTCACCGGGCCAAAGGTTTTAATAAGAGAATTGTCGATGACTTTGGCAAGTAATATTTTATACTGCTGTCGAACCACGCGCATGGACATAATTATTCGGTTTGTATAAATAAGCTGAAGTAAAAATGCGGCTGAGCGAAGTGGGATTCGAACCCACGCCTTTTAACAAGACTGGAGCCTGATTCCAGCGCCTTAGACCACTCGGCCATTCGCCCTCCCAGATGGTCTACCCCTTAAATTTACTTATGTCTAGTAGAAAAGCACCGTCACACCAATCCTCAGAAGTCAACCTCGCCAGGAGCGTGGCCCGTATCACGGTAAATGAGACCAAGCAAGAATACTATGTGCTCTCCACTTATAATATCGGGTATGGGAACCGTATTTCGGAAATAAGTATGCATCTACTAAAATGTAGCTCAAAATATTTAGGCTTTGAATAGTAGTATCGGTCACCAGGAAAAGTTATATATAAAAATATGAAGGCCATTTACATAGTCAGAACTCGATAATTAAATAGATGGCTCTTTGCCCCCTAATGCGCAGGAGCCCAACTTTTAGGCATGACGGGGAGTCTAGGTTTTCATCGTTTTCAGGTTGTGGTTTTAAGCCTTGGTTTTAAATGTAATAATATTGTTGAGATGGTTACTTGACCAAATTTTACAATCATATGTTTTAAAAAATTCTTAAAAATATAATCGTGTTGCAGAAGCATGAAAATACTTTTATAAAGATTTTCTTTAAGTTGAATGGAAAAAGTAAATACAGAAAAACTGAAGTATTATATTTAGAAAATTATGTTAAACTTTCACCTCAATCCCAGTATGCATTTCTGCAACAAAAGAATTAACAAGTTTGAATAATATTTAGAATTATAAATAAACAGGTGGAAAGTTCTAATAGTTACAGCAGCTAAATTTGGTATTTTTTTTATAGTCAAAAAATGTCAAGCACTTTTAAACTGTGTATTTTAAAAGAAAAAATGAATAATGGACCAGAAAAAAATATTATTAACAGTTCCAATAGTAACAAAAATTATAGTAAATAATTCGCTTTCATTTTAATAATATAGAACAAGCAAAATCAGAATTTTTTCTTTTTTAAAATTAAGGAATCCAAGAATATTTATGGGTTTTACTAAAAAAAAGTCAAGTTTTGATGAGATGGGACCTGACCATTATAAAAAACCAAAGTTACTTTTTCCAATTAAAAAATAATGATGAAACCAAAACTCTCTAAAGGTAATAGGCATCGATGACTAAATCAAAAAATTAAAAGTAATATAGTAGAAATAAAAAGGTAAATTAATAGTGAGTTCCGGGCTCAATATAATATATACTATGAAATAGCACTATAAAACATAACTAAGTCTTAAAACCAGATTGGAACTAAGGCGCAATTAGGTTGAATTTACGCATAAGAAGATAAGATGATCGGACCCTTTAAGAGGAAGCCTTAAGTATCTGTTTGCATAGGGCTCCATTATGATCCGAGCAAATAAGGTAAGCTGGGGGCACTAACTGACTTGTAGCATTAATGTGTCATTCTCTTTTCTAGCTACCCTTTTTGATAAAAAAGCTAATATTTTTGTCCCTATTTATCACATAGCTATTAACAAGCCTTAATAACATGTGAAACATTAATATTCTGTCTAAACGCTACTACAGGCAAATATTGGCAAGGCCTAATAAAAGGTATCGTAATAGTTCTAGAAGATCTATAGTTTGTACCTAAATTGGAGGCACAAGAACTTACACCGACCAGGTTGATTCATAGTAAACTTTCCCCTAGTGGAAGGATTTTGGTTTTTGTTATATTTATAATAAATCGCCGTCGTAATTTTGTTATTTACTGCTCTATTTTGCTCTCAGTTGTGCTTTATTTTTTTTTTATATTTCAGGTTTACTTATACTCTTTCTATACATATTTTTTTTTGCTTATTTTTTTTTTGTAGTCTTGAGTTTGCCTTATTTATAGTTATTTTAAAAGTTAAGTTTCCATCATCTAATTTCGGTTAGTCTTGCATTTTTTATCTCAAAGAAAGTTGTAATCCCTTAATTTATATAAGTATTACATTTTAGTATTGGTCATAAAAGGAGTAGGAAGAACAGAAAAGAAAGAGCCCCCTTGCCATCTTTATTTTGGCTTGTGCACACAATTTTTACTACGCGTAAATATAGATTTGGACAATTTAATGCAAAATATGTTTCTATAAATGGACATATTCCTGTTTATTTATGGGGTAAAAGAATGTAAACAAATGCCGGATAATCTTATTGAATGTATTATATAAAGCAAATACTGACTTCTCGAATAAAACATTTTCTACTCTTTTTCTTCGTGTTTCTTTCTTACTTTGTTTTTTTATCTTATTTGCGCTCGTGTGGATACATTATATTTATATATACTCCTCTATATTTTAACACTACGGATCTATAAAATATCACTATACATTTTTGTGTTTTATCCAAATTTAATCATATATACCTTTATTCCTTGTTTTGTTATAAAATGTAAACTTTTACTTCTAAATTTTTTATTTTTATTTTTCAAATTTTTTTAAACTATTTTTCTTACTACTCTGGCACTATGAAACTACAACCTCAAATAACTCAGCCTTACATAATCGACCTTACACCAAAAAACGCACAACTTTAACGTCTATCTTGGGGCTCCGGCCGCACTTATGAATAGGTAATAAGCGGTCAGACAACATGTTACTTTATCTATTTAACTCTGACATCTATACAGTCTTTTTTCGGGTCAGAGGGTTTTAGCAGAGATGACTGTCCCATAGGAGAAGGAAAGGAAACAACCACCGATTATTACGTTAACAAGCAGACTCCGCAAAAGACACGTTAGCAGTGTTCTCGTCAGTGGCGGTATTCAACAATTTTTTCGCAACAATAAATCCTTTTCATTATTTTAAGTAATAAATATAAATAAACCAATCTAAGGGCTTAACCAAATAGCATTAATATTGATAAATATACTTCTGAAAATACTCCACATTTAATTTACTTTTCCTCTCTAGACAAATTTAGAAAAGCTACTAAATTACCAATAGAAAACAAGTTTGAATACTTCACTTAATTGCTTAAAGAAAACACTAATATTGGTTTTAAGAGGCTCATGTTGTGAAATTAATAAGTAAAAATGGAGAAATCTTTGTAGTAGGAAGTTTCTATCTTTTTAAAAATAATTAGGATGTGGAATTTATAAGATTATAAGCGACAATGACTAAATCCCCTTCACCTTCAAAGATTTGGGGTTTTCTTTTACATACTAAAGCCGCAAATCTATTAAACTATCCGACAATATTAGATAAATCTTGTGAGACCAAGTACATTGCTTTAAGCAAGGTTATGCCAAATATAAGGCCTTAAAAATATACTCTGGAAAAATTTCCCAGGTATGGATTAAAAGTATAAGATATAGTAAAAGGTGAAGCATCGAGTAAGAGGGTAAGAAGTTAGAATAGCTTATCACTATATTAAGGAAGAACTATAAAGAGAAAAAATTTATATTGAATATATATCCTTAAATTAAATCTGGCAGACATATTTACAAAGCCACTTTCAATTCAGAAACATAGTTTGTCGATAACTGCTTTGTTAAAAACTAATATATGGTTGAAGTTATAACAACCTAAAGGCTACCATAACTTCAAAATATGAAGTGAGAATATTCTCGAACATTTTAACCCCGAAATATTTATAAATTCTATGTATAAATGCGATACTAACCTAAAATCAAATTAACCCCTATCCTATATTTCTTTGTTTCATTCTATTACAATCATGGTTATCTAACCAATACCTCATGAAAATCAGGCTTTATGGCCTTTGAGCCGGTTTTTTGGACTTGGCTAAAAAGAATCCCTTTTCGAAGGTCTTGCTGTAGTCATAAGACATTTCAACCTCCCTACATAGTCAATATAATAAGGCAGTCGCAAATTTTTATATGACGGGTTCAGATTTTTAAAGAATAACCTTGTAAGTGCCCAATGTACAATGAGAAACATTCTTTTTATATCTAACTAAACATCTGAACTATTATAAGACGCGCACTTTAGCGAAAAATTAACAAAGTTGTTTTTTAACAGAATCGGAGCTTTGGCAAATATTCGAAGTCAACGAAAAGCTCCAGCTAGAATATGACGTATTAACTGAGCTCTAAAGTGTTTAAATTCTTTACATATTTGAACTCTAACAAAAACAGAATAAAAAATTTTAAAATTATTCAGCACTCTAACTATTTCGTCAAGGTTGCCTGCCTGTTAACTGTGGACCCTGTAAAGTATTAACGAATTAAATGCACTCGACTTAGGGCGCTTTCTTCAAAAATTGCAGTTAATGTTAATAATGCCAAAAATAAACCCTTTTTTTCACGTGTATTTAATTTTTCGTTTTTAAAGCAATAAAACAGCTAAAAAGAATAAATAGTAAGTTAACACGTAATAAAAAAATTAAAAAAAAAACGTAATTTACAAATTTGGATTTCCCGAAGTGACCTTTCTTTTTTTTACAATAAAAATATAGGATAAAAACATAATTTGTTATAATGAAGTTTTTTAATATAAAATATACAGTTTACAAAAAGGACTTTAGAGCACCTTTAATTAAAGTAAGTATAAAACATAATTTATTGTTATAAAAAGTGGTCAAGGCTGCAAGTTATCTCTTTTTCTAGCAATATAAGTAAAAACGCCCTTCATAAACAAAAACCATCCTATAAGGGTTAATAATAATAACATAAACCACTCTGCTATACTGTAGTATTTAAGTCTCTCAGAAAAAAAGTGAGATTCTTGATAAAATCTACTAAAAACAACTCTTAATAAAGCCAATCCAAAACCAGAAATAGAACCACAACATCCTGCTACTGTCCGCGAGAAAGGATATGTAAAAAGAAAGCCGGCCCATGAGAAGATAAAGGATACGAAAAAGGTAGCTAAAAAAGTTTTGTCTCCTCCGAGAGTATCGTCAGGATAAGTAGAATTGCTTATAGCAGGTTGGTCAGAGGAGCTTTCAATACTAACCTCCGTATCTTCACAGTTAAGTTGAGCTTCAATTTCTTCGTAAGTTGGTGGATTACGTTCACAATTGCAACTGTTATAAGCAGGAAGATCATCTTTTTACAAAAATATAATAAGTAAAACGAACTGTTTAATTATATAGTTAGGAAATTAATATGTATTTTCATAGCAGCTAACTCT